TTTGTTGGTCCAGCTGAAAAGAATACAATGCAAAAGCGGCGTCAGCGACAAAAAAAAATTTTAATTAAAAAATTTTATATATATTTAGGTCACATGCCTCTCAAAAAAAAAAAAAAAAAACGGAAGGGGCAATGTGGCGGCTAGTAAGCCGGTAGATTGCCTGTAGCCTGTGATATTCATCTCATGCATACTTATTACCTCAGCGCTAAGATACGTTGGTATTAAAAGTCTGTTACTGCCCGTGCACGAAACATCGTTGGTAACTAGCCCACACTTTAATAGTGGGAGCCGGACTAGAGGACAGAGACTAGTGTTTGAAATATTGGAATCATGTATATAAATAGGGCGTTGAGTGTAGCAGTAGTCTTGTTCTTCAGTTAGTAAATAAACTTACCTTTCGACATATGAACGCCCAAGCTTTATTTATCGGAACTGTTACACTCCGAAGTCGGGATCCATATGCTGCAGGATGATTGTCTTCGCTTCTCCTCCTGTACACTTGAAGTATGCCCTAACTTGGGCTTGCCCTTGTCGGAAGTTCCCCGAAAACTCTCCGAAGAAAAGCTTCATTTCCATCTTCCAAGCATTGTATCCAATGTCGCCCAGATGGTCGGTAAACACACTTCGCGGGTACTTGACTCGGTGTGACTCTACAGCGGCGATTAAGGGATCAAGTACAGGCAGATAGTAGTCAACCGAAGGTTGAAGATCAGCCGTGAGGGCGCGAGGGGTCGTTCGAGCCTCGGTGGTTGGCGACTTGCTTGACTGAGAATTTGCGAGCGCTGCAGCGACGACCTGACCTATTGTCGCTTGCTGAGCTAAGGTGAAGTCAGACATTTCTTCAACTTCCCTATCTTCTTTCAGTGTATCCTCAGTGGTCTGTAAAGGCAGATCAGTGCTGCTAGGAAAACCGTAACGCGCAGGTGTAGTAGTTTCTCGTGTGCTTCGACGCGTTGACATGCGTGGAAGATGGAATATGGAGACCGTTTTTTATGTATGGCAATCGAGTTAGCGAAGCTCCGAGGCAGAGAAAGAACGCTACAGAGGTAGGCGCAACTTTAATAATTTTCCGGCTTGCTCCGGAGACACTCCAATCAGCGAACTGACTAGAAGGCACCTAATTGGAATGGTAGGCAAGAAGTCGTTGGTTAAGTCGTGCAGCAGAGGTGCGACGACGCAGTTAATGACTGGCAGATAATATGCTTCTCAGCAAAGGTTGTATTGGTCTTTTCTTATATTACGACCGACCTCAGGTTGACACTGGAAGACTCCCTCGAAATATAAAAGAGTAATTGCTTTGTATTTGGACCTAAAGCTACGCACAATAACTAAAAGAAAAGACAAGGCGAGAAAGAGGCCTGCAGCCTCGCTGGGCTGAAAACTCCACCAGCTCGCTTCCGGGACCAGCACTTACTCAACCAGACTCCACATCACGTGATACCATAAACCTATCATCTGTAAACTCAAGCCGTAACACTCAACATGGCTTCGACTTCAAACGTCAGCCAAAACTGCTCTAACCTTCCTTCCTTTTGTATCCACTTTGTAATTCTTGCAACATCTTTCGGGGTATTCATCATCGCTTCGAATGACCGATTCTCTGCCTTTCTCAGTATCTCCCCTCTCCCTAAAGTCCAATCAGGACAGGCCATGATCATATGCTTGACGTTCTGGAACGGATATCCACATTGGCATCGTGGGCTGTCTACTCCGGGAACATGTCTTCTGTGCAGGTAAGAATCGAACCCAATGTGCTCACTCCTTGACTGCATGGCTATGCTACTTTGGGCCCTGTCAAGGCTTTTATGATATAGTATGTTATGATAGGAGATATTGGCAGGGGCTATGGAAGTGGTTACTGTGACAGAAGTAGGAAGCACCTGTGGTGAATGCGTGATCAGGACTGTGGTACTGAATGTTTATATAAGGAAGCAATACTTCCACAGATAGATTGAAAATCAACCATCTCACTACTGTCCATTCCAACGCATCTTCTCACTACAGCCACATCAATTATATCCGCGCATTCATAATCATCTGCATCCATTTCAGGTATTCCTCTGTCCCCTCATGACCTCGTTATCATAACAGGAGTAGGTGCCCAGGTTACTCAAACCATACCGGAGAACATAACCAGGAGGCTGACCATGGCTCCTTCCATCGTTTGCTTGTTTTTATAGTGTCAGCTGCAATCCCGCAACCGAAGTCTTGGCGCGCACAAAGCCCAATTAATAAAACTCTTGCCAAAATTCAAAATCACACGCCCGTAGAGTTTGTATCCTTCTTTTGCATCATCTTGTGAACTTGTCCTGATCCCTCTCACGTCCATCCCGAAGAGCTATCTCCCAGATTTTTCCTCCACGCTTTGCTTCCTCCAGCAGGTATAAATATCGGCGTGGGCGTGTATTTGGTGGTCAAGGCCAGAGAAAGTCGACGAGAGGTATGTTCATTGGGATGAGGATGCAGTAGGTTGTACTTGTAGACTGGATAAGACTAAGGTTGAAGTCAAACTTGTTGGGAGCGAAAGAAACAACATGGCAGAGTAATTTGAAATTTTGCCTCATGGGCCAACTTCTTTGATATTGCGACATTTGACTGAACTTGGCTCTGGGAGCTTGTTTCACCCCCAGGTTTGTAGGGGATACCGCATACAAGTGTTCAGTATTGCCCTCCTTCAAGTGGATACACTTGTACTTGTAGCGCACATTTCCCACAGTCTTAGCTATAATCCGAACATGACATTCTTTTAATTAAATTCTACTTTCGTTCCCTTCATATTGCGCCCATTTCTTAGCGCGATATTTCCAACTATGCCCGACAACTCCACAGCCGTGAGAGTTCTAAGAACCGGCCATACGAAAGCTTCCCATGCTGCAGTGGAAGTATCTACAAGACTGGAACCACAGGTGAGATCAGTTGAGATCCAATGGATACCAGCTCACGCTAGGATCATTGACAATGAAGATGTAGACAGACTGGCTAAGGAAGCCCTCATGAATCTTGTCGAACCTTTTGAGCTGGTTCGGAAGCTGTAATGTTTGAGACTAGAGGTATCTGGAAGAGTAGCTCGCACAGGAGCTTTCAATTGATGTAAAATAAAAAGATGTAATTGTCTGTCTGTTTGTCTTCCTTCCTCTTTCTCTCAGCTTATATATCTACACATATCTACTACCTGACATACGATGATAATATCTAGAAATAGCTTCCTAACATCACATGACACATACAAACATGTTGTAGCCAGGATGTAATCCTAAACAGACTCAATACCAGTTTACCACGTCTGTTACACGGACGCCAAGTATCTTCTAGCTGAAAATTACCGAAAACGCCAAGGTTTTCCTGAGGCCATCACAGATTACATCAGGCACCGGCTTGGCATATTATTCTAACAATAATGTTACAATCATGTTAGAAGAATGGAATTTACATGAATCACGAAACATTAATTGAGGAATATGAATTCCACCGGGCTCTGATTCTGGTCTGACAAGTCTACCGGATGAAATAGACACATCTCCCTCAGAAATGAGGGGCAGACCTTTGTCAACATTAAGCTTGTTAGTCGACTTTTTATATTGGTCTATAAACACAGACACGGAAATGAATTCATGAGATTGCTTAATGAGAGGCTCGGATTGATTCTAATATAATTTGGTAGAAGACTTGTCCCATCTATCAGAGGGCTACAACGTCTCTATCTATCTACAGGTAAACTGCCCATATTCCAACCACGCTAGCCATACAGGACGTAGCATATAAAACTTGATTTGTATCATCATTTTGGGGCTGAGGTTTACCGTGCATATGCTACTGGAGTCGCATGTCTGACTACTATGCGACACGCTTAGGTATCAATCTAACAACCCACACCAAACCGAAACTACTCACAACCCTGATGATGACCCCATGAATAATTGGAACAGCAGCCTGCAACATAGCACAACTAGGCTAGGCATCGTTGATCAGGACCTAATCCAAACAAACCTAAACATACTTTCGCAGCCTTCACTCGGCTTGTCAGGCAAAGATGTAAGAGGCAGTGGAATCCTGGTGGCTAGATCACAGACCGAGAAGAATTGGATCTCTGGATGAAACGAAAACATCCACCGGAGCTAGCACTTCCGAGGTGAGCGAATCACCGCCTTTTTGCAGCAAGGACTGGACGTGGCAATTTCAGAAAATACCATTATAGATTTGGTCACAAATTTGAAAACTGCAAATACGTGTGCGGAAGAGAAAAAAGTTCTTGGCATTTTGCCAAATACTGGATTGCTTCACAGCAATGGAGAAACTCGAAGCATTAGCCAACACTGAGAGGACGGGAGATGCTGGCAGAAAAGGTTTGGGAAAGATTTCTCCAGGTCTTCACAGTAAATAAGTGTTACAATAGGGAGATACCATACCAGGAGGATTAAGTCCTGATGAAATATAATATTTTCTGGACAAAGAGTTGTGAGAAAGGAGGTAAAGCGCAGGGCGCATATTTCAGAATTAATTCATTATTTATGTTTTGCCTGTAGATTTGATAAGCAAACTATGTGTTTAGGTTTTAGTGTGTCCCGAGGGATTAGATTTTTATTCTAGTCCTAACTGAGTCAATGACTATAGAGGACTCCTAGAATCTACATATAACATACTAGCTACATTTTTTTATATTCCAATTTTACAATTTTTAACTATGCTCTTATGGACAGTGAGGGTCGAGCCCTGTTTAATGTGTCCCGAGGGAGCAGAGGCGCGTATCACGCCAATTGTGTGTAGGGCGTAAGCCTGATACGAAATGAATTCAAATCAAACCAAATCAAATCACGCAGGTACAATAAAATGAAAATTTTATGTTCATCATTATATATTACTCGATGTGTAGAATATTGATGCCCATTTCAAGGGCACATAATTACTAGACTAAGTTTCCCACCTAGAGCCATTCAGTACTATTATCATCTGCTGCGCAGTTTCTCGAATCTGTTGCGGAGAGGAATAGTTAGTAACCACCTTTAATTTCGACGCGCTTCAAATATTTTATTCTCGATTCTTCCAGCTAAAACATGAATAATATGTCAGTTAAAATCGAGTCAAAAGAATGGCTCTTTCATTTAGTCAAAATCATATCTTACCTCTAATTTCCTCGACAGTTTTGTCCAATGCCTTGATCATTCTGCTATACAAAGGTCCACAGTCTACAGGCGTTTCAATATATCGGCCGTCATCATGAAAAAGGATTTGTCGCAATTTCTCGGCTAGTTCCTTGAGCCCTTTGAAACTAGCCGTGAATCTGTCGAGAATTTCTATGTCGAAATTTTGGATATCATCTCTTTTAAATTTGAAGTTGCTTTTCACGTCGTTTGTGCACCAATCATTTAGATCATTGGCCTCGTTTGCAGATACGTCTTCATATTCTATGCATCCTATAATGAACACATAGAAAAATGACTCAAGATCATGGCGACAAGTACGTCCGATAGACTTTCCTGTGTCACGAGCGTGCTGCAATCTCTCAAGAGCCATGAACTTCATAGTGCCCGTCAGAGACCGATCATCTTCCAGAGCCAAATTTCCTTTCATCTTGACCGAATGATCTAGGTCAATCAACATCCCGTGTAAGTCATCCTCTTGAGATGGGTTCAAAAGAATTATATTTCCTTCAGAAACGTCTCCATGAAGGACCTCTTTAGCAACAAGGCCCTCATGCCCCTTGATGGCATCTCTAATTCCGGCGACGAATTCAAGGATAGATCCACCGGAGTAGATCGATCGGCCGCGAGGTATCATCGCTATCCTGATTAGTCGGCGATTTCTCTTCAAGCACTGCATTGGTGCTCCCTTTAGCTTAATGCCCCTTGAGATAAACCTGTTGGCAGCTCTTAAATCCCAAGGTATGGCTCGTAAAAGGTTCAAGTCATCCAAGTGACTTTTGGTCTCATATATAACCTCTGACGCAAGACAATTTACAACACCTCGCACAGACTTGGCGATATTCAGGAAGTCAATTTCGGTATTTTCCTCTGAACTGGTCCACGAGTACTTGATCACTTTTAATTTGTCTTTTGTCTCATAGCAGGTAGTGCCTCGAGTGATCAGTCTCATTGGTTGTACAATAGGATTAGACTTGATCTCAAATGATTGGCCTGGATCTTTTCCAATTTTGGGAAACTGGACAAATTTATCTTCTCCATGATGGAGAATAGACATATCGCAGCCAAGTTCTTCATCGCTCATCAGTAGGTACGAGCTTATTGCTCGAACAAACAACTTCTTGTTACGAACAATATTTTTTGGGCCTGAACTGTAGGCACCCGAGCGATCAAAAAGCCAGAGCTCAAAATCTTCTTCAAACAAGCAGAAACCGTGTAAGAACCGTCTCAATGGCTGAGCGCAAAAGACCTCTCGAACTGACCTTGATAATTGTACAATATTTCTTTTCCTTTGGTTTTCACCAGGTGATATGGTAAACTCACCCAGTGCCTTTACTTTTTCCCAATCAGCAGGACCTTCCTTAGGCAAGTCGATGTCTTTGACAAGGAAATCAATTTGGGTTTTGCCGATTGATTGTAGTGCGCGTCTTGTGGATTTTGTCCGACAATACTGTCCTTTCAGCTGGAAGTAAGGCTCTTCAATGACGATAGGATGATCCTTCGATGGTTCTGGTAAAGGGCCTTTAAGCTGATCCAAAAATGTTTCACTGAAGAAATTGAGCCAGTCCCATACCTCGGTCTCTTCCATGTGTACTTTCAGAATTTTCTCTTTCTTGGCTATTTGCAGATTTTTCATATCACGAATATAATCTGGCTCCTTCGAATTCTTTAGCTCCTTTGATTGTTTCTTCTTCTCAGCCTTCTCGTACTTTTGGTAGCTTTCCCAAATGCGAGAAGTCTGTTCAGACCAACCCTTATTTTCGAAGAAAACTTTCCAGAAGTTTGTGATTTTAGAAAATACGTTAGTGTCAAGGTCAGCTTTCATGACATTTTCCAATCCTTTCGCCGTCCTGTCAAAACCTGGTGTTTCTGAATTATTTTTTGTAAACGCTGTTTGACTCTCTGACGGGACCAACGAATTTCTGTCTTTCGTTCGCTTCTCAAGTACACTGATAGATAATTTTAAGATTTTTTTCTCGTTCTCATGGTGGACAATTGCGAAACTAAGATTTTCGAAATATATGACATCAATTCCTTGTTCATAGATTAGATCCGATACTTGACGGAAATAAACGGAAAGCTGATACAGGTTGTTGTTGCTTATTTCGCGACGTGCATAATTGCTTAGATCGTTATAAAGTTCAGAAAGAGCTATATAGTTAGCAAGACTCTTTGTAGATAGTCATAGAATATTTACCGAGATAATAGGCTTTTGAATAGAAACTATTTAGGAAAGTCTTGAGAATATCCGCGATAGGATTCTTGGAATGATAAGCGAGAAGATCATCGAGCTGAGTCATGTTGTAATGAAAGGTTGTATGTTGTTTGGTGAGGAGGAATTGAATGATGAAAAGTATCCCGAGGGAGATAAGTGGGGTTCAATCGTGTCTTTACAGGTTTTGATGTCACATGATGATCAAGTCATTCGTGTTGTGCTGGCTCGGTTGAGTTATTAGGAGACAGGGGAACGGAGGATGGGCTGCCGGGTTAGTTTTCTTTGCATCAGATTCAGATTGCGTATGCAGCTATCTAGCTTACACAATATCAAAGCTAGAATTCCTGAATATTCGTGAGAGAATCAATAGATACCCCACTACCATTACCGTCCCCCTCAGACTCGCATACAATTACACCAATTCGAATTCTCACAGTAACAAGACCCCGGATCTCTAACATGTCTCTAGGGCCTGCCAAATCATCGCGACCTATTCGCCATCAAAGAACAATTGATAGAGCGAATACCAGGCTGAAAAAGCGCTTGGCAAAAAAGAACATACCATTGAGCTCGATAGCCGAGCAAAAATGGAGTCGGAGATGACCGAATGGATAAGAGCCTTTGAAGAAGATTCTAACTCCACAAACCCAGATGTTGAAATGGGTGATGCGGTTATTGACCGATATATCATGGAGGGGCTTGAGAGCTCACGATGGAATGTCAGTGAACCCGAAGACGGTCAGGTATCTGAGGCCCCCGCTATTACAGACACGAGGAAGATTGCTGTGCCGGCCATGAAGCGGACATCTAATGTTGACGCGAAAAAAGCCGACGGAGCCGCGTCAACCACAACCCCTCAGAATACCATTCCGAGGACAAGTGGAAATAATCAAACTTCTTGCAGCAATGGCAACTCCAAGAACACTGCGACTTGTCCTCCCGAGCTTCGAGCCATACTTGAAGCCGAAGAACAGCGAGCGGCCCAGACCGCAACTAATCTCACAATACGCACCGCTGCTATCAATGGTTTGGAGAATGCGCCCTCACCTCTATTCAAGGGGTCAAGCGTTCAATTTATAGACTCCATGAAAGTCTACCTCCGAGCTGCAATAGCTCAATTCATGATGTCGGGACCAGGAACAGTCCTTCCCAGCCTTCCCCCACGACCAAACTGCCAGAATCATGGCGGAAAGATTGTGGAACAAACGATTGAAAAGCAGCCAGAGCTGCTACAAAAAGCGACCCAGGTCAAACCTACCTGGGCAACAGTTACCCGAACTGGCCTTCACACGCCAGCGGCACCTGTGAAAGATGTGAGGGTCCATAACATACCCCCGACACCAACGAGACCTTCGGCAAAAACTAAGAAAACTGGCCCCAAAGATAATCGTTTGTTTCTTCGACTCGGAAAAGATCATGCTTGGCGCGCACTCTCGCCGGCCGGTGTCCGAGATGCGACAGCAAAATTGCTCGAGCTACCCCCGCAGAATATTGAACATGTATACCGTGTTCCGACTAGCTTTGCACTCCGAGCCAAAAACTAGGAGGTACAACAGCTCCTTCTGGGCTCTGCTGAGTCTTTCGTCCAGGTAGACGCAATCCTGGAGAAGGCCTCAGATTTAGTGGCCCTTCGTATTGCGACAATTCCAGTCGCAATTCACACACTCCTAGGTAAAGTAGTTGTCATCGACGAGATGGTGGCCGAAGAAATCGCCAGGGTCACTTCAAAGGTTCCGGTAAGGGTCCGCCCTCATGGAAAAGGGAGATAGGGAGCCCCCTACCAGACATGGGTAGCTCATTTCGAAAGAGAGTCCGTACCTAAACCAGGCTTCCGACTCCTCGACGACTCTGGAATCGCTGTTCGCCATCAGCCACGCCAAACTGCGAGCCAATGCAAGCGATGTCTCTTATACCACGGGTCCCAGAGCTGCTCGCGCGCCCCAGTGTGATGGAACTGCACCTCAACTATGCACTCCACTTCGGAATACCAAGGACACACCAAGTGCCGCAACTGCGGGGGTCCTCACAGATCAGACAGCCGAAACTGTTCGGCCCGCCCTAATAAGTCCGGAATGGCTTCTAGGGAAACCCTCGAAAAGATCAGGTACGCTAGCCAAGGCGAATATTCCGTGGTGATCCGGGCGAAAACCGCCGTCCGACGAGCAGAAGCCGATATCAAAGCCGCCACTGAGATGGCCAAAACAGCTACGCCGAACCACAGCTCCAATAATAGCTACGAGGTTCTAATGACGGATGAGACGCCAAACGTGACTGAGGTCACAGAGGCGGTCGCCCCGAAAAATCTCCCACAAAGGGCGCCCCACGGGCCCTTTTCCGCCTCCCTTCTACTCTAAGTTTCATATCAATAAACGTAGGTAGAGGAGGTCCAACACAGAATATTGCACTTGCCCGAGCATTCGAGCTGAATATCGACGTAGTCCTAATTCAAGAACCTTGGTGGAAAGAAGAGACAATGTCGCATCCTGGACACATTTGCCATTTACCTCATGGTGGCGAAAAGGTCAGGTCAAGGGCTGTGACCTACACCCGGAAAGATGATAGGACAATATCAGCGAGGCAACTCTTCCCCTGTGCTAAGCTGACGGGCGACTATTGCTGGGTGCTTGTTAATGGAGTCACTTTCCTCAATGTGTACAAGGCAGCCAGAGACACATCAGCCGTACAGCCACTTATCAATTGGACCCCGCCGCCGAACTCAGTCGCTGCGGGCGATTTCAATTCGGTGTACTGTGCCTGGCAACCAGGAGTCACTAGCCCCTACGGGCAAGGTGAAGTGATTGAAAGATGGGCAGAAGATCACAATCTAACCTGCCTTATTGTTGGAGAACCCCCATATCAAGCTGGAAATACCTTAGACCTTGTCTGGACCAACATTAATGGCAGCCGTGCATGGATTGACCATGATGAATGTGTCACCAGCGACCACCTTCCTGTTCGAGGAATAATCCCGGTCCAGTTCGCAAGATTGAGACCCAACTTGGGCAAGATTCGAGTGACGAAGGAAAGACTACCTGACTTTGCACGAGCTGTTACTAAGTTGGTCCGTCTACCACCAGTTTTAGATACAATCGAAAAGGTCGAAGACTATGCCCAGGAACTTTGCTTAAAGCTTAAGACTGCCATCAATGCAACAGGAACTCGACCCAGAGCAAACGGCGGTAAATCAGCCCCGTGGTGGACCCCGGCGTGCAAGGAAGCATGGGCTGAATATCGAGCGGCAGAATCACCCCTCCAACGTGCAATGTATGCTAAAAAGCTGCGATCAGTCATCAGAGCTGCCAAAAAAGAACATCAAGCACAGCAGGTGGAAAGAATGAACACGCCGAACGATGTTTTTAAGCTGATGAGAATGGCTGGGCCTAGATAGACAAACATCCCACCACCCCTCAATCACAACGGAGCTCTCATATCTGATCCACTAGAGCGAGCCACAGTTCTCCGTGACTGTCTCCTGGCAAGACACCAAATATCGGACGACCTACCGCCTTGCATCGCCACGAGTAACAACCGTATACCATGGAAGGATGATATCTCCGAGGAGGAAATCCGAGCTTGTACTATCGGCTGTGGAAACACGGCTCCAGGAGCAGACGGAGTCTCCGTACAGCTGGTAGTGGCCTGCTGGAAGACAATTAGACCCTGTATAGTCAAGCTCTTCAGAGCTTGCATACAGCTCGGTACGCATCCGACTTGTTTCAAATTGGCTGAAGTAGTACTTGTACAGAAGCCCAAAAGGGACCCAACAACTGTCAAAGGATGGAGACCAATTGCCCTTCTTTCTTGCTTTGGTAAAGGACTTGAAAGACTTCTGGCAAAACGGATGGCGCACTTAGCAGTGATTTGTGATGTAGTTGGTCGGCAACAATTCGGCGCACTCTCGAGGTGCTCAGCAACAGACCTAGTCTCCTGTGTAGTACACGATGTCGAGGAGGCGCGCACACAAGGGCGGGCGGCCACTTTCGTCACCTTAGACGTACAAGGTGCGTTCGATGCAGTTCTTCATAATCGTCTAGTGAGAAGAATGCAAGAACAAGGATGGCCAGACTCAGTTCTAAAGTGGACAACTTCGTTCCTTGCACAACGAATGGTACAGGTCCGACACTCGGAAGGAGTCACGACAAAGCGACAGCTAGTTTGTGGGGTCCCACAGGGCTCGCCGATCTCGTCTCTTCTCTTTCTTCTATACATGGCAGAGCCAATGTGGAGTGGTACTCCTAATCTAAAGTTTAACTACGCTGACGACATCGGCATCCTTGGATTTGGCCGCACCACTGCTGAGTCTGCTGCAGCTACCCAGAAAGAAGTCGACCACCAGCTGGAGTGGGCTCAGAAAAATGCTGTCCAATTCGACA